ATCGAGACTATCCTGGCCAACATGGTGAAACCCTGTCTTTACTAAAAATACAAAAAATTAGCCTGGCGTGGTGGCGGGCGCCTGTAGTCCCAGCTACTTGGGAGGCTGAGGCAGGAGAATGGCGTGAACCCGGGAGGCGAAGCTTGCAGTGAGGTGAGATCGCGCCACTGGACTCCAGCCTGGGTGACAGAGCGAGACTCTGTCTCAAAAAAAAAAAAAAAAGAAGAGTTCAAGGTCTTTTGAGTGTGGGCTTCTACTGAACATTGGACATGTGGGGCTGAGGGCCGGGGTGGAGCATTCAAGGCAGACAGAAAAGCATGAATAAAGGAAAGGAGGCAAGAAAGTAGGACTGAGGCAGCTGACCATGGGCTGGAGGAACAAGCCTGTGGAGCTGCAGGAGCTGCAGAAGGGGGAACACAGTTAGGAAGGATTGGCTCCAGGAGGTATTACCGGGCAGGCGTGTGTATGGTGATACTAGTGAGAGTGAGATCAGCTGGAAAGCTGGAGGTGGCAAGGCCTGGACCAGAGTAACAGCAGAGGAAATGAGCAGAAGGCTTGGGTGCAGGAAACCATCAGGACTTCTTAAATTTGTGGGCATAGGGCAGGATCAAAGACAGGGAGGTGGAAAGTCGCTGGCTGAACTTGCAGCCCTCCCCAGGTGCTGTCAAACATCCAGGTGGGGGTTAGAAACTGGTCGCCTGGAGCTCATCGCTGGGATCTGGGCTTGTGGTTGACCTGCCTATGGGTGAAAATCATCACCTCCATATTAAAAAGGATTGCCAGCTGAGAAGGAGCCACCAAGGTGGAAGGAGACCAGGGGAGACCTAGTCAAGAGGCCGCCTGAGGAACATTTCAAGGAGAGGGTGCTCAGCAGTGGTGGACGATGGGGAGACCTCACTGGAGCGCCTGGCACATAGTAGACACTCAATAAATATGTGTGAGCTGAATGAAAGAAAAACCAGGAGTAAGAACATGATACATTCAGGACAAGCAACACGAAAGAGACAGCAGTTGAATTTGGGAGTCAAGAGAATAACAGACCCTTTAAGTGCCATAAGGGAGAAAAAAAAGGAAAAAAAAAAAAAAGATTAACTGAGAGATTGTTGTATTTGTTCCAGAAAAAGGCTGGGACCTGCTCCAAGGCCAACACTGAGCACTGATTATTGACCATCAGGAAACTCTGCCCTGATCTGCAGGGTGGAGGCCGGAGTGGTGTGGGGTTTATTGTGCGACCTTTGTGTAGAGGTTACAACTTAATGCAAACGGGAGCCTTTTCCATTCAATCTCAATAGCTAGAGATCAGAAAAATACAATATATATAATACCGCTAAATGGCTCACACAATTCCATTACAAATCACTTCTTTCTTTCCCCAGCGTTTTTCTTTCCCCTTAGAAATAGAATGTAGCGGGCTCTCTGATACTGTGACCTTCCCTACAGCTTGCCTTTAAGTCCTTTTTTAACAAGGTTATTTAAAAAGACTTTACTGGCCAGGCAGGATGGCTCATGCCTGTACTCCCAACTACTCGGGAGGCTGAGGTGAGGGGATCCCCTGAGCCCAGCAGTTTGAGGCTGCAGTCACGGGACTCGCCACTGCACTCCGGCCTGAGCAGCAGAGCAAGACCCTGTCTCAAAATAACGAACTAGATAGCTAGCTAGCTGAGTAGCTAACTAACTAACTAACTAACTTACTTTACTGCTTCTTGAGACTCCTATCCCTGGACATTTAAAAACACATTATTATTTTTTAAAAATGCATTTCCTATTTTTCTGGCTTAGAGAAAGATCTTTTTCCTTCACATCTTTCTGGCTTTAAAAATATTACTCTGGGGTGGCTGCTGTGGCTCACACCTGTAATCCCAGCACTTTGGGAGGCCAAGGTGGGAGCATCACTTGAGTCCAGAAGTTCGAGACTAGTCTGGCGAACATAGTGAGATGGTATCTATAAAAACAAACAAGGCCGGGTGCGGTGGCTCAGGCCTGTAATCCCAGCACTTTGGGAGGCTGAGACGGTCAGATCATGAGGTCAGGAGATCGAGACCACCCTGGCTAACACGGTGAAACCCCGTCTCTACTAAAAATACAAAAAAATTAGCCGGGCATGGTGGCAGGTGCCTGTAGTCCCAGCTACTTGGGAGGCTGAGGCAGGAGAATGGCATGAACCCGGGAGGCGGAGTTCTCAGTGAGCTGAGATGGCGCCACTGCACTCCAGCCTGGGTGACAGAGCGAGACTCCGTCTCAAACAAAACAAAACAAAACCAACCAACAAACAAAAAACCCCAAAACTACTCTGAAAGGGAGAAGAGGTTGCTGAAGGCCACAGTGGGAAGCAGGGCGCAGACACCCCTGGCACAGTGCCGGCCAGTGGGCGCCCCCAGCCTGACTCTATTTACCAGAGGCTGAAGTCCAGAGGGGTTGAGGGGAAAGCACGGCCGGTTCCTGGGGCCCTTCCCCCGCCTTGATCCCAGGGCGCCCCTGACCTTTGAGCCGGCTCAGGCTCTGGCTCCGGCGCGTGCACATTCGCCTCGCCTTTCAGGACCAGCCAGATCGCTGCGGCCTCGCGGGCTGTCTGGTTGGTGAGGTCGGGGCCGCGCGCGGCAATGCTGCGGCTGCTGGCGTCCGGCTGCGCCCGGGGGCCGGGGCCCGGCGTGG